TACACTGTTAGAGACTTTCTAGCTCTGAAGGACCTTATGGACCTTCTGAGTGAAAATGAGGGCAATGCGTCTTTATTAGAAGAGGGAGGTGACTTTCAGGCTGCACCGATGGTTTGTGGATCTATCGGGGCACATCCTGAGGCCCCTATGGAACACCTAAATGAGGGGAGCAGGGTTAGAAAACTTAAGTGGAAATCTTCCAAGTTTCTTTCCCTGCAGACCAATCCTAATATTTGGACATTTCTGACCCAGACGGTCAAGAGAAATGGAAAAGCTGGATCTGGCTCAGATGCATAATTGTAATCTGACACCTGTTCAATGACAAGCACTTGAGGGGATGCAGCATAACAAAGCTCTTACGATCAAAATGGCTGACCACTAAACAAATCACTAAAGAAGACACTGCTACTTCAATAAACTCCATTTGTTTTGGGTCCTGCATTGAGCGGCTTCACTCTAAGCAGCTGCTTACTAAACACAGAAGGTCAGTCATTCAGCACACAAGAGCTGGAAGCAAGTGGAGATAACTGAAGTAGCTGTGTTTGCCTCAGTGATTTCCAGCCTCTTGGGGTATTGACGAGGTATGGCCATTGCATTGGTCCATGCTGCCTTTAGATCAGTGATTCCCAGTTGGAGTGCCCCGCTACCCTGGGTTGCCATTTGTGTTCACCGGAGGTGTCACAGGACAGTTTGCCCTGGATTGGCATCATGAGTTGCCATGGTGTGGGTGAACTGGCAGCATCATAACAACCAATGGTGTGCTAAGGCAGAATGTTGCAGTGGTGTCTTGTTTCACATGACTGTCATATGCCTTTAAGTGTTCTCTGTATTTTATCTCTGCTCCTCCCTTTCCTTTGGTTTAGTTAATGCTGTATAGATAGCCCACCCCTTTTCCCAGAAATGCATTGCAGCTTCTAGCTTCATGTCTTCAAGCAGATCACATTATGATCTTTTGACCTATCCGATGTTAATTGTTGTAAGATTCTCTCAGTTTATGGAATAAACTTCACAAGATCTACAAGATGTCTTCTGGATTGAGTCACTGCCTGTGATATTCAACTAAGATTGGAGTTATCGCTATCTCATCACAACTGTAAGTTACAGAGATCACACTTTCAATGCTTAGTTTGGAGAGACAGAACAGTCAAAAGATCAATTAAATGTCTTCATAGGATCCTTGCTAGCTTTGAATACATAGGGAGATGTTATATGGACAGCTAACAGGGAGTGCAGCCATCTCTACACAAGCCGGTACATGTCTGCAAGAATATCTCAGCATAACACTCATCTGTGTCAGGACAAATTGTTGATGTGAATGTCTTACAACTGCAAGTTTATACACTGCATCTGTATGCATTAGCACATGGCTTTATCTGTGAAATCTTATAGAAAGTGAAAGAAAACTTTTCTGCAACCATTGCCTGGGAACCTTGAGCTCACCCACAGAAAAATTGATACATTTCTTTGTAAACTTTCTATCAACCTTGCTAACATGATGTTTCAGGAAAGTAATACACAGTCTGGGGAAACTAATACACAACCACAATCAGAGCTTCATCCAGAGCAGGACTTAGATAAAAGAGAAAAACACTTAACAAAACCAACCTGGAAAGTGCAAGAGAATCTTGATGCTGACAGGGAACAATTGCTGTCTAATATTAATGACTTATGGTCTAATACTGTTAAATGCATGTCTGCTCTCTGCAAACAATCTCATGAGCCAATACAACTAGAGGGTGCTATCCAGCAATTGAATGTTGCTTATGAGAATTATCATAGACTGTGTGTTAAATATATTGCTCTCTTAAAGCGGTACAACACTCAAGGGTCATTGGATGAATTAAGGAGTTTTGAGGAGCTTAATTTTGAAAGAGACAATTTTTTGGTGCATACAAAGACAAAGGCAGAAGTGAGAATAACACAGCTCCATGAATGCAGATCTTATCGCTCTGCATCTACTAGACGCTCCTCAAGATCTTCCAAAAGTCTACAATCAAGGTCTTCTACACTCAGTCAACAACTAATAAAACAAAGAAACACAGCTCCTCTAAGTGTGTACTGTGAAGGTATTTAATAGAAAGATAAGTAGTAACTCACATCTTAGAATGTAAAAACAGGCTCATGGGTAAGAGGGTGAGACGTCTATAGCTAGATGTTTGTGGGATTGATCCAGAGAGGAGATCGATTGAGTCCGCCAGCAGGTGGTGCTGTGCATGTGCAACCTGAATGGTAAGCCTGGTGGAATCTCCAATGTGTCTGCCAGCAGATGGTGCTGTGCATATGCAGCATAGATGGTGAAGCCTGGCAGAGTCTCCAAGATGTTCGGGCTCAGCACGTGCGGCATCTGACGTCATCAAAATGTGGCGCGTTTCTGAGCATTTTCAGGACGAGAGGAGTACAGGCGCGCTCTTTCATCAGGCAGGGAGGAGCTGGGGGTGAAGGAGCCTTATATAGACCAAGGGGGTGGATGATGGACAGGGCCAGGGGCGGGGAAAGAAGGAGGATACTGTCACAGAGCAGCAGACAAGCTGTCATGAACAGGAAGATTAATGACAATGGTGGAGGGATAATATACTTATATAAACATATCTATTTCTTATATAACATATATATAAACATAGCAAACTTTCATTCTTAGAAGGAATCAGGTTCATCCTGGGAGTTCCATCTTGAGAACTGATGGAGTGGAAGGCAGCCATCATACCCACAGTATATGTTATAGACCAAACTTACTGTACATCCCCTAAAAGCAGCATCGCTGTGAGCACGGACATATTGCCATCTGCATCATAGTTATTTCAATGTGTTTTTTATTATGTTTCATACATTGAATGTATGTACTTCTTATCTGTTTTTCCCAATAGTTTCACCCACCTTGTTCTATTAATACAGCTTCCAGATTACATTCAGTCTGGCTTATTGCAAAATAGGAGGGTTTAGCTGCACGTTGAGTTACACACAGGGAAACTTGTAGCAAGGACAAAACATTATGTGATGGGGGACTCTGTGATTGGGTGACTCTGATTTGATGAGGGCACTCTGTGATGGAGGAACTCTGTCATGGGAGTGCTCTGATGTGATAGGTAGCTTCCATATATAGGGCTGTATTTCACCAAGGTGGTTGTGTGCATCATTGCATTCTCAGGTTTCCCACTGATAAGTAAGTATTTATGTTTTTCACATTTTAGGGTGCCTCAAGATTTTGCATAATTTTAAAAGGGACCATGAATGAGAATGTTTGAGAAACGCAACGTTAGATAGTGTATTCATTTGGCTTCACTTTGCAATATTGACCCCCACTACTATTTTTATGTATATGATCAAGGTAAAGAATTTGACTCTTGACACTTCAAAATTATGCTGGAGCCCTACATGCTGACTTACTGGAATGGTTAGTTTCCCATTTGTTTAATAATAAATGTGGTCATTAATGCGTTTGCAAAAATGCTCATAGTTTTGCCCGCATAAAACGCACTATACCTACATAATATCAATTATATTACTCCTGTAGTTAACAAAGGGTTTAGAGAGTCACCTCTGCCCATTCGGCAGTACAAATACCTTTCAGCATTATGCCACTTCTCCTTTCACTAGCCAATGTTAAGCTTCTACCAATCAAGAGAGGATGGATGTGCGGGGGACCTGGCTACAAACTGACCATGAACGATATAGGCACATGGTCTGCTTGCACAATGTGCCTGTAACTCCAAATGGGACAAGAAGGGATGCAAATTGACAATGCTAGCACAAATCGGCTTCTATACTTAGCACGATCAGTTTTTGACCAGGAAGAGGGGAACTGGCAGGATCAACCAAGTATTACATTAAGAGTACAGAAAAATAAAAACAATTATATTAAAAGACACTGTTTAAAGCTTGCACAACGTGCCTGTAACTCTGAATGGGATGAGAAGGGACGCAAATTGACCATGCTAGCAAAAATCGGCTTCTGCACAAAGCACGATCAGTTTTTGACCAGGAATAGGGGAACTGGCAGGATCAACCAGGTATTTCATTAAGAGTACAGATAAATAATAACAATTATATTAAAATACACTGTATAAAGCCTCAAAGAGTCTAAAATATTTATTAAATTTAAGTTTTACACTTTAATACATGGCTTCATATTTGTATATGCTCATTCCTTTAGTTTACTTTCAATTAGAGTTCACTACATATCCCATGGTACTTTGCTGCCTCCAAGCTGTGATTCAGCACTGTTCCCTAAAACTCCTCTCAACACCTCTGTAGTTCAGAAGGCAGGCTCTGTGAAATATGTGACACAGTAGTGCCTACTCACAGGACATGAAGTAAATGTGTACAGATCTTCACAAAGTAAATTTACAAACTTCAGAATCATGCAGATTAAGAGCAATAGGCTAATAAAAAATGCAATGTTGAAATGAATATATGATTTATAAACTTTTACCATAGATTTGCTTTAACCACTTGACCTCCAGAAGATTTACCCCCCTTTATGACCAAGCCATGTTTTGCTTTTTGGCACTGAGTTATTTTAACTGACAATTGTGTGGTACGCTGTACACAAATACATTTTTTTTCACACAAATAGAGCTCTCTTTTGGTGGTAGTTAATCACCTCTGGGTTTTTTATTTTTTACGATATAAATTAAAAAAGTCAGAACATTTAAAAAAACAATATTTTTTACTTTCTGCTATAGAAGCTTCATAAATTTAGGCCAATATGTGTTTTGCTACATATTATTGGTAAAAAAAATTCCAATAAGCATATATTGATTGGTTTGCATGAAAGTTATAGCGGCTACAAACTATGATATATAGTGATGTCCTTGACAGGGGCGGACTGACCCTTTGGAAACTCGGGCACTGCCCGAGGGCCCGGGGTCAGTAGGGGGCCCCATGAGATGCCCCTGGTACCTTTATCATAGGCTTTTTTTAGTTCGGGCAAGGACACGGGCCCCATGATCCTCTATTGCCCAGGGGCCCCATGAGATGTTAGTCCGCCCCTGCCCTGGTACCTTTCATTGGCTTTTTCATAGGCTTTTTTGGGTTTGGGCAAGGACACAGGGGCCCCATGATCCCCTATTGCCTGGGGGCCCCATGAGTTGTCAGTCCGCCCCTGGTCCTTGATGTTCGAGTCGAACGTAAGTTCGTCTTGAACATCGGCCATTTGTGTGTTTGGCAAATACATGACCAGTAAGGCTATTCGCCCACTGCGTCCCAAAATGCACTGCGCTCTGACAGTGCATTGTGATTGGCCAAAGCAATGCACCTGGCCACAGCCCCCCTACCCCAAAGCATCCCCCATATTGCCATATTGAGGACAGGTGGCCTGGTATGGTTCAGGAGGGGGGGGCCTCGTTTGCCCCCCCCCCCCTTTTATGGCCTGCCAGGCCTGTACTCAGATCAAGGGTCTGGTAGGAATTTTTTTCCCCATTTTTTTTGAGGGGTGGGGTTCCTCTTAAAAGTTCTACCAGGCCTAAAGGGCCTGGTAGGGATTTAAGGGGGAATCCCTTGCACTTTTTTTTCATTCTTACTGTGGGGTCCCTCTCAACCTTCCTATCAGACCTAAAGGGTCTGGGAAGGATTAGGGATGGGGGGACACCACTTTTTTTTTTTTTTTTTTTTAAAAAAGCTCAGTCTGCTGTAGCAGGTTCTATACATTGTACAGATGTGCAACTTTGCAGGTAGTTTAAGGGGACCCCCAGGAATGGTATTTAAAAAATGTTTTTGTTTTTTTGTTTTTTTTTACTTTAAGCAATGAATAATAACTGCCTCTTTAAAAACAGTACTTCTTGAAAAAAAATTTTTTCACTGATTCAGTCCCACGGTGCAGTAACCAAGTCCCCATACACCTTTTATGGCCAACAACCTGTATAAGACCTTCAAAGTGGGCACTTTTGAATTTACAAGTTTGAGTCCCATAGACTTACATTAAGTTTGAAGTTCATGGTCAGACTTCCGTTGTTCCGAATGTTTAACCACGAACCGAACAGGGAGGTGTTTGGTCTATCACTAACTTTATATATATATATATATATATATATATATATATATATATATATATAGTATGGCGGGCATTCTGACACTAACTGACACTCTGTGGGAACCAGTAATACTAATACAGTGAGCAGTGCTAAAAATATACACTGTCACTGTATTAATGAAACTGGATGGGAAGGGGTTAAACATCTAGGATGACCAAAGGGTTAAATGTGAGCCTAACCAGTGTTTGTGTGTACTGTGTGGTACTTTCACTAAGAGATGTGCTGGTTTTTATTCCCTGAATACCGGCACATCCTCACTGACAGGACATAGCTTTGTATTGTTTACATTGTTAGTGCTCTGCCCTGTCTTCTTCCTCGCCAATCAGCAGGTGCTAGCGGTCAGTCATTGGCCGGCACCCGCTGATCGGCTTGTGCTGTGACTAATCACAGCACAGCTGGAGAACCCTACCCAGGAGTGTTGGATCACGTACTAGGTTTTGATACGGCACAGGAGAGTCACTCTGCCACTGCACTCCTATGGGAGGCGGTCAGCAAATGGTTAATAAGAAAACAGACCTACATTGATATGCAGCCCTGCTCTCCATTCTTCCTCTTCTCACAGGAAACACATGCAGTAGTGGGAGCTATTGGCTCCTGCGGCTGTCAGTCAAATCCTGTGAGGAGGGAACAGGGGGTGTGGCCAAGCTGTGCTGCGTTTTTCTATGGAGACCTACAGGCGGGTTCTGCATAGGTGTCCTCTCAGCATATGGCTTGGTGGGGGGGCACTTGTAGAAAGAAGGATCTGAGTGCTGGGAGGGGGGACTCCATTCCAAAAGAAGGGATAAGGGACTACACTGTGTTTAATACCACTGCACAGAGGTAACCATAACTTAAAAAAAATAAACTATTGTGTACAATCATTATAACTTCACTATTTTGAACTATCCATCCAAGGAATAGTTCAAAGTGATTTTAAAGGCTTTTTTTAAAAATAACAAACATATTATACTTACCTGCTCTATGTAATGGTTGTACTCCTGGCTCCTCCCCCCTACTGAGTGCCCTTAGAGCAAGCTGCTTGCTCTGGAAGCACGCGTACATGGTAGCTCCTAAGCTGCCCCTGTGTGTCTATGAGACCCACAAAGCACGGCTCACACCCCACTCCCTCCTCACTGGCTGTGTGTCAGCCAATGAGGAGAGAGAGGCCTAGAGAGCTTCTGCTCTCATGCTGAATCAGGATTGGGCTCATGTAAGTAATAGAGGGGCTGAGGGGGGAGCTTCACACTGAAGGTTTTTTGCATTCATGCAAAAAATGAATAAAGGTAAAAAACCTTCAGCCTTTAGATCCGCTTGAACAGGTAGAGGGACAAAGTGTGTGAAGCATAATAGCACATAGAAGCAATTCCAGCTGCAGGGTTATTCAGACTGTGAAAAAGGGAATAACATTAAAATATTTGAATCTACAGTTTTGATGGTTTAAAGCAGAATTTGGTAATCCTGCCTGGATTCATTTAATTAGAATAGGATGGCCTGTTCCTGAACCAGACACTACTGTGCCTGGCCTAGTCAACAGTAGTCAGATGTCCAGGCCCTAGAATCTGTTGCAAATACAATGAGTTTTCTGCTTGATGCCTCTAGTCAGTAATGCCTAGCTTGCTGCAGGCACTATTGGGCAGAGCAAAGTTTTGGTACTAACATCATTCGGCAGACACTTACCTCTGTGTTTCAGATAAGTAACCATTGTGCTGGGACATTCCTATTTCCACTGAGTACCAATCTAAGCTGTAGTCTTGATCACATTGATACTAGTGTATGGGGCCTTGGTCCTCCCTCTGACACTAGTGTAAGTGGCCTTCTTTCTCCCACTGACACCAATGTAGAAGGCATTAGTCCTCCCACTGATGCCAGTGTAAGTGGCTGTCTTTCTCTCACTGACACCAGTGTAGGAGGCCTTAGTCCTCCCACTGACACCAGTGTAAGTGGCTGTTTTTCTCCCACTGACACCAATGTAAGACGCCTTAGACCTCCCACTGACACCAGTGTAAGTGGCCGACTTTCTCCCACTGACACCAGTGTAGGAGGCCTTATTCGTCCCACTGACAAAAGTGTAAGTGGCCATCTTTCTCCCACTATTACCAGTGAAAGGGGCCATATTCCTCCCAATGACACCAGTGTAGAAGGGTATATTCCTCCAAGTGCCACCAGTGTAAACTAGGTCAGATCTCTAAATGTAAATAATAACAGTGCAGCGCTCAAAATGAATTAAAGGCAGTATAAAGTCTATGCAATCTCCGTAATGTTGTCTGGATATGATGAAAACTTCCAGAATTTTACTGCTTCAACTAATAGCAATGCGCACTCACCAGAAACGCATGGATTATGCGCATGTTAGAATAATCATCCCAGATGTCAGATCCATCGAAGACCAAGTGGTGGGCATCCCTCTCACGGTGGGTCATCAAAGACTCCAAATCAGGTCCAGAGATCCCCTTAAGGTCAGTCAGGTAATCCACACTGATAGTAATGATCCCTCCTCTGGATCGTATAGGCACCTTCTCTGTGGGGGTAATAGCTCCACATAGGAGCCCCAAAAAACAGGTGCCAGAGATAGTGTAGTATGTTCTTGAATACATTTTTTATTAATCAATAGCAAAACAGGGCAGTATGCACATCACAACATTGATTAGAAGTGAAAAACAGCAGTACTGACCCCAATAAAGATGGCCGCCGGGCCTCCTCATGGCTCCGGCGGTGAAATGACGTCACGCTCTGCACAGCTCCTCCTTAGGCCTTTCGTGCTACAGGCACATCACCAGCACATACAGCCTCCCCTCTGATGATGTGCCTGTAGCACGAAAGGCCTAAGGAGGAGCTGTGCAGAGCGTGACGTCATTTCACCGCCGGAGCCACGAGGAGTCCCGGCGGCCATCTTTATTGGGGTCAGTACTGCTGTTTTTCACTTCTAATCAATGTTGTGATGTGCATACTGCCCTGTTTTTGCTATTGATTAATAAAATGTATTCAAGAACATGCTACACTATCTCTAGCACCTGTTTTTTGGGGCTCCTATGTGGAGCTATTACCCCCACAGAGAAGGTGCCTATACGATCCAGAGGAGGGATCATTACTATCAGTGTGGATTACCTGACTGACCTTAAGGGGATCTCTGGACCTGATTTGGAGTCTTTGATGACCCACCGTGAGAGGGATGCCCACCACTTGGTCTTCGATGGATCTGACATCTGGGATGATTATTCCAACATGCGAATAATCCATGCGTCTCTGGTGAGTGCGCATTGCTATTAGTTGAAGCAGTAAAATCCTGGAAGTTTTCATCATATCCAGACAACATTGCGGAGATCGCATAGACTTTATACTGCCTTTAATTCATTTTGAGCGCTGCACTGTTATTATTTACATTTATATATACATATTTTGAAGGTATTGTGGTTACCTGGAGTGTTCAAGCTGCTGCATGTATTTAAGAGCGCTCACTACAATTTGTTTTTAAAATCTATTTAGGTCAGATCTCTGCATAGCACATTACAATATGGGCATACAATCTATGAACAATCATATTTAGTTTTAACAAAACTATGTAATAGGAGAACCCAAATTAACGTATCTATTCAATCTCTACCCAATCAGACAGGACCTTGCACTACATAGTTGCTGGTAGATGTAAAGAAGATTGTACAGTAGTATCAGGTTGTAATGTGTATATAAATGTAAAGAAATCTGATTTTTTTTTTTTCAATTTTTGTTTATGTTCTGGGACTGTGTTTCAGAACAAACTATCAGCCTTTTCAGAAGGAGACAAGCAATTGCAGCCTCTGTATTTCTTTAATGAGGTGTAATTTAATTAAAGCACAGTCTAAATAATGTAATAATAAATCTGGTGCATTTTTCAAGATGTCACTGTGTATCCTTTTTATGTCTGCTATAAGAAATATGCTTGAAATAAACCAGTGATTTTTAAATACTTTTAAAGCTTATAGGATGAATCTGCAGATTTTTTTGAAACTTGTAAATAGTCAAAATGTTCATGACTTTCAAAATAAAAGGGAAAAGGAAGTAAAACAAAGCTATTTTCTGAAAAAAAAAAAACTTCACTCCATATCCTATCA